GGACTTATGATCCTATGACTAGGATTTTAAGTGCAATGGTACAGTACAAAGAGTGCTGACTCAAATTAGTGAGTCCCCAATAAAGAATTCTAATTTTGCTTTTTAGAAATTAGAAAAGATGATTCTTCTATTCTAGATGTAAGGCAATTGCTTCAGGCTCAGGAAAGGCATCAGAATTTACCAATGTAGAAACAAAAGACTAGACTTTTAGATATTGCAGGAACAGGTATCCTTGCATCATTGATTCCTATCATAAACTGTCCTCTAAGAATATTTCCTCAAAGCAGTGAATTCTAATAAATACAATAATGCTGACAGAAACAAAAACAAAACAACAATAACAACAAAAACCTTTCAAAGGATATACCTGATGATCTGTAACTGAACTAAATAAGAATCCCTAATTTTTCACCTTTGAAGTCCTCATTACTTATTAGTTAGAAAATACCTGAGGGTTGAGGTGAGTCAACACCATGACCAGCATTCTCTTTCCTTTTTTCTTTCTTTTTTCTTTCTTTTTTTCTTTCTCTTTTTTTTTCTTTTTTTCTTTTTTGCTAGGTAGTAGGGTTAAGTGACTTGCCCAGGGTCACACAACTAGGAAGTGTCAAGCATCTGAGGCTGAATTTGAATTCAGGTCTTCCTGACTCCAGGGCTGGTGTTCTATCCACTGCACCACCTCGCTGCCCCATCATGGCCAGCATTCTGCTCTGTGACTCAGCCACCCATGGCAAGAATATGAAGAGTGGTATGGCTCTTACTAATAATAACATCATCACGTATTAGGAAGAGTCCTGAATTTGGAAGTAGGAGATCCACATTTGAATCCAAGATTTAACCCTTACTAACCTTATGATGTTGGGTAAGACATTTACTGTTGCAGGCCTAAGTTGCTCATCTATAAATGAAGGAAATAGGGCTAGCTAATTGTTTAATCCCCTTCTAACTCAAAACATCATAATGAATGAGTGAATGAATGAAGCTTATATGGTGCTTACTGGAATTTATATTCTCAGTGATTAAGCAGCCAGCCTTTCCTTGAATGTCTTTGCACCATAACATTACAAAGGTATCCCTTTATTCAAATATTTTGACCCAACATTTTCCAAATGAGTAGGGTCTCAATTAATATCATCTTAAGCAAAGTTACAAAAGAAAAATATGTGGCCAGCCAAATGTCATGGGTCATTGGATTTTAATGCCAGAGAAGCTTTATCTTCCCTAGGTCCCATATCTTGCCCTCGCAAATTTCTTCCCAGCAGCTCAGTGCAGATCTATATGCCACACAGAAAGATTACCTCTTTTATATGGCATCAGACAGTAGGTGGCTGATGGAAATCATTGTTGTTTGTGCTACCTGGATGGTCCAATTCTCAGAAGAGCAACTTTTTTCAACATTGACTTGATTTAGATTTTTTTATTAAAACCAATAATTCTTGATCTTTCTTGCAAATGAACTCATTCAGTATCTGATGCAGAGATTATATTTTAAGTAAAATAGTGTAAATCATGGAGTATCAATACTGACAATATATTAATATTTATAGAATTAAAGATAAAATAATATTATTGATTATAATTATTCTTAATAATAGGGAGAGAGATTGGATTTGCAATTTCATTGTTTTAGAGAACTCCTGGATGAGGAAAGTCCATCTATCAATGTAGAATGACATCTTCTTTGCAATTTATATTCTTAGAGCTGTCTAGAGCACTGAGAAGAAAAATGACTAGCTCAACATCAGACTTGCACCAAGGTTTTCCTAGCCATGAAACCAACTCCCTATCTAGTACATCATGTTGCCTCTCAGTATTATTTTAATAATAGAGCTGTTAAAATTGCTCAAATGATTATTTCCTCACTTTTCTTAAAATATGATAACTTCTGTCTAAAAAAAACATAACTAGCAAAAAAGCAAATTTGGGTAGAATGAAAAGAGCAAGGATAAAACTTCAAGCCCATGGACTATGAAATGCAGGAGTTATTCTTTTAATTGGTTCTATCATCATGCCCATTAATAGGATTATTATTATTATCATTGTATATATTTAAGTGCCAAGAGTGTCCTAAATTTTACACAGAACAGGGAATGAAATGTGGTCTAACTCTTTTAAATGTGATTTGCCTATTTATGTGTGTGAATCTATCCTGGCTTAGCCAGTTTCCACAAATAACCAATTTCTAATTGTTCTTCTCTATAGTAAATGAAGATTATCAATCTTCTTTCTCCTAGCCACAGTCCCAAGAATTATAACTTTTGTAATTTAGATGCTTCTTCCTGTGATGATAAGAGATGACAGGGTTTTTTTTTTTCCTCTTTAACTTTTCTACTCATTCTCTTTTTGCTTTTGAATGATTTAAAAATTATATGTTCGGTCACATCTGATCTTTTCTTGACATTCCCTACCCTTGACACAAGTTGATTATGGTTTAAAGTATTCAAATTGGTTTGAAATTGATCAAATTTACCACTTCCGTAAATAGTTTTCAGGCATGTGAGTCTTGACAGTCTGGGTCTTTTGAGAGCATCACATCTGCAGCAGCAGGTGACATTTGGCTGAAAGTAGTCCTTTTGCCTTGCCTTCGCTCAGCTGCATCACAGACTTCAAGCAGACCTTTTATGATCCCTTGAGATACCCACAGAAGATGACTACTCCATTTCAATCAACTGAACAATCAAGCAATTAAAAAAAAAATTTAGAACCTACTGTGTGCCATCTCTCCCATGACTTGTCTTTCATAGTGGAAAAAACACAGCCTCTGGAGCCAGAGAAACTGGATTCAAATTCTACTTCTGGTACTACCTGTGTGGCTTTGGGCAATTCAATTAACACATCTGGACATTACTTTATTCATCTAAAAATGAAAGGGCTATAATAAATTGTTGCTGAGCTTCCTTCCAGTTTTTTATTTATGATCTAGATTTGATGAAATATTAAAAGAGTAGTAGGCCTCAGTTTCCTCAATCAACCTCTCAACAGCTAATCAATCAAAAAGCATAGGTTGATGTAGGGAAGAGAATGATGGACCTGGAGTCAGAAAGAGCTTTGGTAAATCAACCTCAGACATTTACAATCTGTAAAATGGGGTTGATAATGGAACCTGCCTCCCAAGGTTATTGTGAGGATCAAATGAGACAATATCTTTAAAACAATTTGCAAACCTTAAAATGCTATACAAGTGCTAACTTCTATACTGTTTTAAAGGCCTACTATGTACCAGAAAAGATAGAAGGCACTGGGGATTTAAAGGCAAAAATAAAATAACCTCTGGCCTCAGGGACCTTACTTTCTTTTGGGAGTGGCAACATGCACAGCTGTAAATATATACAACATTTGTATAAAATAAGCACAGATGACTTTTTGACTGAAGGAAGATTCTCTTCTAGGAAAGCCAGCAAGGAAAACCTCACATAGGTGCTGGTATTTTACCTGTACTTTGTAGGAAGCTGGGGATTATCAGAAACAGAGATCAGAAGGTAGTCTATAACTGATATTGAAATTAGCCTGTGCTAATGAAAACAGATGATGAAATGTTGAGTATAAGGAAGTGCAAGGATAACTTGGTTAGATCATTGAATTGTGAAGACGAGTGAAGTATAAGCCTAAAAAAGTAGTTTGGAGCCACATATTAAAGGATATTCATTGGCGAGTAGAGGAGCATGTATTTAATTTTAGGATGGAATCACTGAAATACATTTGTAAATAAGGGAGTTGGGTGTGATGAGCCCTCAGGTCCTTGTAGCTGTAGATCAGTGATATTATGCACTTCTTACTAATATTGGTCCTCATGATATGAATCCGCTCATTCAGGCAGTTAAATATTAAGTAGACAATATACATGTGCCAAGAGAAGTCTGTAATCATATACTAATTACATGGAATAATTATCTTTTAGGGAAACTGGCATGAAGATAACTTTGATTTATTGAAGGGCACTATTCTTTCCACAGTCTCTGATAGGTCCTACCCAGCTGAAAGGATCAAAGTAGACTGGCAACCTTCTATTTACAAATATACACAGAGATACAGATCTATGACTTAAAATTTTAGAGAGTTTTCTGAGGCTTAGACAACTTGAGTAACTTTCACATGTAACACAACCAGAAGACTCAAAGGCAGTACTTGAACCTAAGTCTTCTCAACTCCAATTCTAGCACTAAATCTACGATACCAAATTAATTGTCTCACTTCTGTGTGTGTGTATATACACACATGCACACATGTGCACATACAAGGCATAGTCAGAACTTTTTTTCCCCAAGTCTGATATATCATAACTGTGGGGAACTTACAGTGCAACAATGAGGATTAGCAAGCTAGTATGTAACTTAGAGGCTCAGAGAGTTGCCTCAGCACACTGGTAAATGTGTCCTTGGTAATTTGTCTAGGATGCACCAGAGGCAAGGCTTTACTGCAAGCTTTCGTGACTCCCAAGGCATCTGTCTTTCTACAACCTGTGCATATGTGTATATGTGTGTGGACAGGTTTATGCAAAAGAAGTGTGTGTGTGTGTGTGTATGTGTGTACATATATATCTGTATATCTGTATATGTGTGTGTATATACACATATATACATGTGTGTGTATATATGTAATATACACACACACATATATACATGTATGTATGTGTGTATATATGTGTGTATATAAATAATTGATTATGAATGTCTTATTGGAAATGACCAATGTTTTAATGTTATGATTGCTTTCTTAAGGTTATTCTATATTTACTGTACTTTTCAGAGTACTTCCAAATACCCTCTTGAGCCCTAAGGTGTGTAAGAATGACTGAGTTAGACCAAGGCTCCATATTCTGTCTAAATCTTAAGTATATCTCTCTTATCATGAGTATTATGGTTAGTAATTTAACGTCCTACCTGTTCTAGGTCATTAATACTTACAGGTTTTGTTTGTTTGTTTCATATGGTTCACTTCTAACCACTTTTTTGTCTCTCTCTCTCTTTTCTGTTCCTTCTTATATGCTTGCATTGGTGCAGCAGACCACTTGGGGATCGAATTCATGGGTAAGACCTCGCAACTTAACTCTTTGATACTTTGAAAAGCTATTCCTACAGTTGCTCCAAATCAACCTTGGTTGCTGAATTTGTTTGCGTTTGATATGCCTAAGTACTAGGCTACTGTTGTGATAAAACAGCAGCAACGGCAACATATACTTTACTCACTTGGATTTTATTCACTTACATGACTCAGACTGATAAAGTTATCTAGCATATTTCTATCTTCCTTGTTTTGGAACTGGACTGATTACTTACAGTTTTATGTAGCCAGTTTTATATTTTTTATGCCTTTTAGATTGTAGTTTCTTACTGAATATTTTATTTCAGAGAATAATAGTTCTATTGGTTAGGCCTTTCCACACAGTTTTTATTCCCTAAGAAAAATTAAACCTTCCCTGCCTCCTCTTGTATTTGGATTGCTAAATAGTAGTCATGGTTCTGTAATATCTGAAAGGTTACTCACTGCAGATGGCGTTATTTTCTGTAATTTCTGACAACATAACACATTGGGTATGATAAGCTGACAGCACATTACTAAATGAAATGGTGAGAGAAATCTTAGGAAAAATTATGAAGTTTTATATTAATATTCTTCAAAATGAGATGGATCTATCTTAAATCCCTCCCAAGAGGATTTCATTACTGATGTATTTAAAAGACTCTGTTATAAAGTGTTTCAACAGCACAGAACTCAAGGATAGACTTATAATAAAACATCGATGAGTTATGATTAAATCATACAAATTTTCCATTTATTCATCCATGTCTAAGGATTTTCTTCCCAAGAGACTTTCAGTACTATTCAAGAGGAGTTGTCCCCATATATACTGATGGCAGAATGAATTTATGGAAAGATAGGAGGGAGATGGGAATAAAGGGGAGTAAATATAAAATGAAAGCGATATTTGCAGACAGACAAAAAAAAAGGTTAATTAAAGATTGATCAGGAGACTATAAAGCTAATGAATATGCTATATTCTTCTCCTTACTGGCCCCAGAAATCTTTAGCACCCATCTTTCTTTAAGCTATTCTTTAAGCTATTTAATTACATTTCTGGAATTACATTGGAAGATGGATTTTGCTCCAATAATCTGCTCTACTCCAGATCCTAAATAAGCTGACAGCAAGGAAGGAAAATGCCCTTTAGTGTACATCACTTTCCATGTATAGGAATTGTGTTAAACACTTGCAGTTTGACCTGTAGCCACAAAAGAGGCCCTGCCAAAATCTGTGCTCAGAACATACTGATGAGGACAGGATAGAACCAGGCAGAATTGTTTGGGCTTAATACCCAAGTCATGGACCAGACCATGGAAAAATCAGACTGATCTTTCCTTCAGCAAACAGCAAGCCCAGACACTGACTTCAGCACAAAGGGAATCCAAATGTTCCTCTGGCACCACCCACTGAAAACTAGACAAAGAATAATAGTATATTCACTTCTTCTAAAAGCACTTGGATGCAGTTCAACTGCTTGATTGCACTGATGCCATACACTGATAACAATGACCTTGACTGATCTTTAGGACAATTCTAATGAGCCATCATGTCTGATATCTCAGAACTATAAGCAATATCTTTAGAGTTGAAGGGGAGATATTAGGCCCAGAAAGCTGCAAGGAGTGATGGGGGGGTGAGGATTGCATCCAGATCACCCTTATTGACAATATTATTGGAGATATTATGAAAATAATAAGTAACACATCCACCTGGGAGCTGAGAGAGGGTAAACCCAGCACAGCAAGGAAGGGGAATTCATGAAAACCACAGGAAATTATAAAATTATAAAAGAATACCTATCCATCTAGGAGCTATGAGTTACCCTTTTGCTCTATATACTTTCTTAGCTTATGACTACTTTTTTCTGTTTCCTTGTGAAAGAATGTTTAACCAAATATTGTGGAGATATTGCCGCACTTTGGTCCTTGCCATACATTATCAGTATATAGTACTCTGTAAACGTTAACTCATGCTAACTGCAATTATGGAGATGAAAACTAATTCAGCTGCATTCAAGAAGACATTACATGGAGGCTCATGAGAAATGGTATTAGAACTCACTTCAGGGTTGCCTCTAGAAATTTGTAGGGATTAGTAGCACCAATCTGAAGCCTAACATGCAGATATATTTAGGGAACTACAATAAATATATATGTAAATATACATACATATATATATATATATATATATATATATATATATATACACACACACACACATATTTACATGTATATAGTATATTTATATAGGGAATATATATGAATATATGTATATATAATACATGTATGTATATATAGGTGTGTATATGTATACACATACGCACACATGTTTATCTATGAAATTCTATGTTTATACAACATATTGTACTGCAAGATAATATAAGTAATAAAAATCCAATGGTTAGGACAAGAGGTCTGAAATACTCAAACCAGCATTTGTCATTTTATCTGTAATTTTAAAGAGTTAATATGAAACAAATAACTGAAAAATAGTAATTTTAGATCACATACTTAACCTGCTATTAGATATAATGGAAAGAATATTGGGGTTAGAGTCAAGAAGCCTTGATTGGAAGCTTAGCTCTGGCACTTACTATCTATGTGACCATGAATATGTTATCTAATCTTTCTGAGCCTACTTTCCTCATCTGAAAAATGGACATAATAAGGCATTTAGCCTTTTTTCCCCAACTTTGGAGGAGAGGGGTATGTTTTATAAAAATGAAACTGCTATGTAAATAAATATTATTTGCTTTGACTAAAAGAATTGAGATTTTAGGGTCAGCCATTCTCGACTCTTCATCCTGTGAGGCCATACAGGGATATAGAATACGGAAAATTTTGTAAGCACAAAACTTCTTTAACTTGGTTTACTAAGCCAAACAAGCAATGAGATGAGATAGCTGACCAAAAAAAAAAAATAACACAAGTAGGCCAAGTTTGCCTTGGAAAGAGATTATTTTATGATAATTAACTAGCCAATGTTTTAAGTGTTCTAGGCTCTATGTGATCTTAAATTGTTTTTTGGGGGGTGGAGTGATCTCTGTTGCACAGAGTTGTCATTGTCTGTGATAAAATATATGTGATCATTTCCAAACAGAGAGCTTTGTGAGAGAACAGGTGCAGTACCATTTTGAAATGGACTCATAAACAATGCATCACTCTGAGAATGGCACAGAAGATTTTTTATGCAAATTTACCAATTCTCATTTGGCAGTGCACAGAGAGTTAAATTTCTTCCTTGTGATTGCTAAATTGTTTTCTGGCTTTGCTATAAAAGACAAATTTGTCTTTACACAAAAGCAATGACAAAATTCTGGTTTGTAGCAACCAGATCTTCACTAATAGCATAATTTCACAAGAACATACATATGGACTGAGCCTAGCAAAAGGTATGCTCTATGATTCAAAGAAGGTTCAGTGGCATTGGGAATGATTGAAGAGCCTTACTGGTTTTTCACAGAGGAGATGCCATAACAGATTCATTTAAAAATGATACATCAGAATATAGAATCCTGTAAAGTTATGGACTTCCTTGCACATTAATGTACAAACATAATAAAAGTTACTATTGCCATTGTCAAACAAACTGAAATTCTCTATAATACATGCTCCATAATTAAATATGTTCTCATGAAAATCAAAAGTTTCCTGTTTAAAATTCAGTGGGGTGGGGGGTACAGAGCCAAGATGGCTGAGTGAAAGCAGCAACTTGCTTGAGCTCTCCCCCAAACTCCTCCAAATACCTATAAAAAATGGCTGTAAACAAATTCTAAGGCAGCAGAACCCACAAAAAGACAGAGTGAAACAAATTTCCAGCCCAAGATGACCTGGATGATGGATCAGAAAGGTATATCGCTCCAGGCTGGTAGCGTAGCTCAGCGCTGCGTGTGTGAACAGGCTGCGGGGAACCTAGAGCAGGCATCAGAAGACTGAATTCTGGGCAGCTGTGGCTGTTTCCAGACTCCTCAATCCAGGAATGCCAAAGGCAACTTAGAAGGTCAGTGGGAAAAGTCTGTTTCTGTGGTGCTGAGAAAGGAAGGCGGGGTCTCAGATTCCAGTTCCCCAAGAACGTGGCCCTGGGGTGGGCAGCTGCTTCCCAAGCTTCCAGGCCAAAGACTGAGGGGGAATCGAGTGGCTGATCAGAGGGGGATTGCAGGGATCTCTCTGCTGGTGGTGAGGCAGGAATCTCTTGCTTTGCAAGTGCTTGGATCTAGGTCACAGCTCTAGATGAGGGTCACGGGGTGAGGAGGAGCATTGGCATGGTGGAGTTTGTAGTGGCTGTGGACAGAAACCTTCTTCACAGTTCCAGGATAGAAAGGAGTGCTTGTGGTCACTAATGGACCACAGCACAGGCCAGGAAAGGAGCAAACACCCTGCCCCTTATCACAGTACCTTGCAAGAACTGAAAATTTATGGGTCCCTACAAGTATCTCTGAAAATAGCTATATAAACCCCCGGAAGCTTGGGACAGTACATTCTCCACAATGGAAGTAAAGAGTTTAAAGTAATTGCCTGGGATTATGAGCAAGCAGCACAAAAAGAGTCAGACTATATTATCTTATTTTGCTAACAAAGGAGATGAAAACATACAAGCAGAAGAAGACAACAAAGTCAGAGCTCCTATATCCAAAGCCTCCAAGAAAAATTTGAATCAGTCCCAGGCCTTGGAAGAGCTCAAAGGGGATTTTGAGAAGCAAGTAAGAGAAGTAGAAGAAAAACTAGGAAGACAAATGAGAGTGATACAAGAAAATCACGAAAAACAAGTCAACAGCTTGCTAAAGGAGACCCCAAAAAATACTGAAGAAAGGTTTTCATCTGAGCGTTTGAATATTTTTATTTTATCAGCATAGTACTTTGTCTGTCCATTTGTCATCCCTTGGTATATTATGGTCCAATCTTATTTTCAGGTTATTCATTTCCTTGGTGCTACTTTTATGTAATTTTTGACATGTAAGTCCTCATTAGTAACAGGACGGTGGCAACAGGAGTCCAAAGGAAGGAGA